AGCAGATAAAGTTTTGCAAAGTTATAAGCAATTGATAACTTGTTATGCTGGGAAATCTCAGGTATCATTAACCATTAAGTGCTACTCCCTGCACTCCTTTATATAGAACAGACAGAAGCTCCTCCCACCCCTTTTACTGGCTTCCCATAGAATCAGTGTTACTAATACTCTGGGGTTTTGTTCTTTTTAAAACAGCATTATTGCTATAAACACCATCTTGAAGGTTAAAAAATGCCCAACATATATTTACAAAACATGTTTCCAAATATCTTTCCCAGTTTATTCATAACAAGATGTGATCCCAACCTTATGAGCATTCAGCTGTCAGGCTGAGAAACATTAGTTTGATTTTGTTTTAAAACAGCAGGCATGGAAGTGGGCCTCTATGCAGCATTTCATGCCAACTTGGCAAAGTGGCTGTCTGCAAAACAAATGTTATTGGCCTCTTTTAGCTTTCACCTGACATTTCCAAGGCACACTTTTTCAGGAATTTCAACTTACAACTCATTTCTGATGACATAAAGCCATGTCTATTCTGCAATTCCGTTATCCTGGAAGCAGACAGACTTACAATGTATATTACACATTTAATAATAAATAACAGTTTTGCCAATTCTCAATATGTTATCACAAATCTCACAATATTTGGTGTTTCTATTAAATCACCAGTTCAGTTTCTGCAATCTCAGCTTGGGAGAATTTCAGTTGCAGTTACAATTCTAGACCTCAGGTGTGATAAGACAAACTTTAAAAAATCAAAAGCCAAAAAGAAAAAAAAGGAGACATTCTTTTTGAGAGCCGTGTGGTTCTCAGCCAAATCTCCTGATTTCTAGGGACCTGACTCATGAGTTTTGAATGCTTGGGGTTGGCACTACTGAAATGGTGACAAACTGATGTTTAGAGACAATTGCAAAGGGAAATCTCAGCTGGGGCTGATGGAACAAACAAAACTGATGATTAAACAGACAGACACTTTGGTAACGACAGCAGCTTCCTGCAGACAACTATCCTGGTCCAGTGCCAAACACTAAATTCCTCTGGGCTATTAGGGTTTGATGCCAGAAGCCCTTCACTTAATTTTATTCAGTCTTTCCTTATGCAACCTCTCCAGAGGAGGAGTACGTGTACTGTTAGTTAGTCAAAACCTGAACTGAAAATTGTCAAGAAATTTGTGTGTGTGTGTGAACTGAAAATTGTCGAGAAGTGAGTGAGTGAGTGAGTATTTGAAGTCCATTAAGACCCTGTCAAGGATCGAAGAAAACACCTACTCCAGGATCTGTTTTCTAATGTTCTTTCATTCCTACATTTCCAAGGTCACATGCTCAAGTGCACTTTTTAAAAAAATTATATACTCTAAATCTGAACAGTGCACATTCAGCCTGATTGCCATATTTAAGCAGACAAGATTAAATTCCCAGGTATTTTCTTAGCAAAGGAGGATCTAAAATGTTCACGGAGAACTCTAAGGACATTCCCTGTTCAGAGGCTAAAATATTTTTAAAAGGGAATATCTTTATTATATAACTCCTGATTTGTTTCAACTGCCTCAGATAAAATCCCATAAGGAATTCATGTTGTAATGCCTCATTGAACTTAAAACAAACCAAGCAATCCACACAAACAAACCCTTAAAAATCCACCCCTCAACAACTAAAAACCCTAATTTGTCCTATTTTTTGCTTGTCTACAATTTACAGCTGACAGGCTTTTTACATAAGAAATTTACCTAAAAAAAATTACACCAAGAGCCACTCCAATCCCATTCCTCTGCCCTATCTCTTGCTCTGCTTTCTGCTCCCTGTCCTGTGTTCCCTACCCAATCTGTTGCTCTGCTTTCTACTCTCTACCCTATCCACCATTCTTGTTTCTGCTCCCTGCCTTATCTGCTGCCTGCCCCCTCCCTGATCTGTCACATGCCACACACACAGACTACCTGTGCCACTTGGCACCCATGCCACAGATTGGCCATCCCTACTTGAACTCACGCTAACAGTCAAGTAGAAATTCCACTGATCCTATTGCAACAGGCAAGAATTCCTGTAGGCGATATCATTTATTGGACCAACTGTATGGTTGGTATAGACATAGGCAAGCTTTCACGTATCACAGTCCCCTTCTCTTTCCTCTACTGGAAGTTTTTGTGACAAAAAGCATTATTCGGTATAAGTGTATCATAACCTGGCTGCATATTTTTTGGGGACCAGAGTAAGGGATAGGCAGGTGTTCTGGAACAGTTTAGGAGGAACTCAAAATTTCCCCCCTGATATCTCTTCTACTTCAGGGCAAGCAAGCATCAGATCTATACTTGGCACAGCATCCGCTGCCCAACATGCTGGCATAATTGTTTTGGCCAGTACACTGAGCAGGTAATGAAATGAAACAGCTCCAGCACAAGGAAGTAAATCAATGTAAAAGGCTGGTAACAATCAACGGCTTACTTGCAAGTCAGAAAATATTTAGTTACAATGAGTGGCAACAGAAAATAATTTATTCTGAAGCCGACTGCTGATGAAAACCTATTATAAACCCTCTTCATCAGATAACATAATGTCCAGACAGCTTCAGAATTAAAGATTACCTACATAAAATTTTCAGCGTGCTCGTGTTTCTAACCATTCACTAGAGCAAGTTGTAAAAGCTATCAAGAAGTTGAAGATGGATAACTCTGCTGAAGAAGGTAGCTTACCAGGGGAATTCTGTATACCATCTAAAGGATGTTTTGAGCTCATTATCTGCTCGACACATTTAACGAAAGAATAGATCTCTCAGATATTAACAATTCAGGCAGTGATCTTCATTTGGAAACTTAAAAAAGATTCAGAGCCACGTGGTAATTACAAAATGGCATCCCTGTGAAACAGGCTACAAAAAACCTATGGAAATCATGGGTAAAGGTTTACATACAATTATAGGGAAAGTAAGTAAAAAAGATCAGGAGGGGGTTATTCCACAGAAATGAGCATCAGATAATTTCTGAAGACTATTGGACATCCTATTGATGTCTAAAAATAGTAGTGCTCTCATTAGACATTAAGATTCTGATGAAGTTGAATGATGGGGTCTGGATTATGCCTTAAATGAAATGAGTCACAGCTCTAAAAGTCAATTTAAAAAAAATATCTATACACAACCTTCAATGGATACCTGATACAAAATCACCTTTCTTATTTTACAGGGACACAAGTCGGGACTACCTTTTTCCTCACTGTAATTTGAAATGAACTGTAGAACCTGCAGCAGCCAGAGATGGCACCTCTGTTATCAAAATGGATGACATACTGTATATTGTTTTCTTTATTCTTATATTGTATCTTATTATTAGAAGTTATGGTATAAAACATTAATAATGATTAATTAATAAGTGACCGAAAGAAAATTATTCTGGCAGACTGAGACTATCATGGAGATTTTTTGAAAGGGAATCACCTCCCAAATTTAGCTATAAATTAAATAATTCTAAATCAAAATTTGTACCATAACAAATATGGTACATACCTTGTAAATTTAAAAAAAGTGACAAAAAATTATTTGGAAATTAAGTTAAACATGAGACTGACTAATATGGTTTAAGTATTACTGCAGTCTACTGATGCAAAATATCAAGAAAGACACTGACATATTAAATGGGGGGGAGGGAAGCAACACAGTTGGTTTCTGCTTCACAGATTAATTCACGTCTTCTCAGATGCTTCCCAAGAAGGTTAGGGAGGCATATTTTAGAAAGACAGAGATATTTATTTCAACACTTATTCAGAAGGGAAGAATGGCAATACTCCAAACCCCCAAATCCAGTGCAAAACTAAAATATGCAGTAGTTTGAAACTTTCTGATCTTTAGATTTTAATTTACTATATGTAAAATCATTATATATCCCAAGTCTGAATTCAAATACAGAGAAAGAGATGGCAAAGTATTTTAACAGTACAGAAGAATAATGAGACTTACTAAACTAAAATGGACATAAACAAAAAGGAAAAATTAATTTCTAAACTCTGATATGATAACTGTAGTAATGGGTGTTTCAAGCTAGCAGTGTGCTTAAAGTTAGGTATGTGCTTACGTACTTTGCTAAATAGGGACTACAGTAGAAAAACATTTTAGTGAGATCATATTTAAACTGCTTTACCTCTTTAGCTGTCTAAACAGAAACTTCCTACTGCCAAGTGGCAACTTCTCTAAATGCATATCTTTATTCTTGTAGTCAGCCCCTTACTGTATGCTGCTTAATGAACTTGTGACTGAAAATACTGTGCTACATCTTGTTTCATTTCCAGAGCCAGATACAGCCTTACAATGAATTTCTCAGTGATTATGAAACCACATGTTGAAACCTTTTGACTTCTTGCCTTGACACCAACCAAGTTGCAGGTGGTTCCAATTTTACACTTATGGCAAAAACCTTGTGGCAGGCGTCCAAAAAACCTGGCAAGCTGCAGAAGCAACATACAATGCTCCAACTTACTATCTTTGGAACTGCTAGTTTGATATATCAATTAATCTTTGCTGCTTTGCTTAGATCTTTTGCTAAAACGTAATTTATATACTATAAAAATAGGTCGAAGTTAGGTTACAATATGTACCTCGACCTACTTAATTATGGTAAATGGCATTACAACGTAGCTACATTATAAAAAATTGTTATGGCTTGGTCAGGGTTAGTTCATGACCCTGTCCTAACCTTGACCCACTCTTAATAACAATTAGCCCTTAGGGAAATAGTTAATTATTTGTTATAATAATAAGTCTCTTGGACCTCTTTAGTAGCAGATCCTTAATCAAAAAATCCACTGCATATATCTAATAAATTGGACAGCGCATGTGTACTATTGCTGTTTACTGGATGGAATCACAAGTATTCATTTTTATGTCATATGCTCTATAATGTTAACAATTAGAGAAGTCTCCTTTATTCTGAGTCATATAAAGCAGGGTTAGGATTTGATTCCTATTTCTACTATCACCATAACTCCGAGTAGTGTAATATGAAGCACAGTGGCAGCCAGTATTTGCTCCCATAGCACAAAATGGCATGGATTCCCCTTTCATTCCATATCCATACATCAAAAATTATAAATAGCTCACCAATATTGAGATTCCTGCTGAATCCTCTCTTTCTTTTTTGCCCTGCTTATTAATCGCATCATGATTTAGCATCTTCATCACGTACACTGGATGAAGGCAAACAGGGCCTGGTGACTCCTGATGATCCCTATTTTAAATATAAGAAATATTGTAAATATAATAAACAAGTCCAATATGGTAGTGTGGTATTTGTTGATTTTGTTATTAACGGTGATCACAGTAGTCATAGATCTGCTTTTGCTATAAAATGTTATCATTTGGAGTTGAATTGTATTAATAATGCCTGAACTCCTTTTAAAAGCTTTTTTGACCTTTTTAGTCATTAGGGTAGACCAGTAATGAAAATAGTAATTGGCTTCAAGGGATTCTGTTCTCTTATGATTCATAAATATTTCTCCTTAGGCAAACATTCTTGGGGGAAAAGAGTGAGGGCTGCTGATACTCTATGAAAAGATTCCTTTCTACAATACCTAGCACGAGGGATTTCTGTCCCATGACTGCAGTTCCTCCTTACTACTGCAAAACACATAGATAAATAATAGTTACTTTTATTACTATTATTAACTTCACTGGCTTTACTCCAGCAGAGAATTCAGTCCATTACATCAGTGACAAATGATATATAGGTACATACATCCAAATATATCCCACCAACATGTGTCAGAAAACCTGATGCATCATGCAAGCTAGAAAGAATAACGGGCAATTCAAATCAAAGTGCTTGTTTAATCAATAACAGGACAATAATGACATCAATAAAAATGAAATAGATAAATGCTAGTGACATGTGATTGCCATATAAAATTGATTCTTTTGATCAGACTATTATTTACCAACTTCACAGAAGTTTTGTGTGAATTAATAAATTAATGTTCTTAAAGGGCACTGAAGATGCATGTAATAATTGCCAACAATTATTAGCGAATATGAACTGTATGTATATATTACTGTTGCTGTAAAGGTATTGTCTTATTACAAATAAACATTATCCCATGAATGCTGAGTTATACACTTATTATTAAGTCTTTGGTGTGTGGTAAAAAATCATAAAACTTATCAGCATTGCTAACTGTAATTATAAATAAATATTATTAGTATGAATTATTACAGAGGATATAAAACATTTAAATGTATATGTGGGAGAATGTCAACTTCTAATGAACCCTACTAGGTTGAGAGTCTGGGAGACTGAAAATTATCTAGTGCCAATATAAAAAACTTTAATCATTGAGAAGATACTGATTAATTATACTAGGATTATCCACATACTTGATGTTACACACGTGCTTAAGCTTCCTATTGAAATGGGGCTTGTATACCTAGATGGGCAGAGCCTACAGATTTGCTAGGCACTCACCATCACATGAATATGCCTCAGTCACAGGGGGCCTGTTGGGGACCCCTATGGAGGCAGTGGAGGAATTCAGTTTCCATGGCCCATTTAGCTCTTGGGCTCATAGCTGTCACTGCCTGAAAGGGAAGAAATTAATGCCAATGGTGATAAAATGACAGGTTTTTCAGCAGGGACATAAAACCACCATACTTCTGAAAGTCTTTGGTCCCCCATAGAAAAATATTACAATACGTCTGACAACAAATATGAACATTTGATTCCCAACACCTATTAGAAAGCCCCCAAAGTATTTGTCATTAACAATTTTTTTCTTAACTAACTTGTTCAGTTCAAATCTTAGGTGATGGGTCTGAATGCTGAGATTAGGTCAGTAAATAAAATTAATTATAAAGCTCAAAACTACCAGCTGCAGGTGGCAGGTTTAAATGTCAACCACAAGGCTAATTATCTAAGAACATTACCCATTACAAACTGTGAGTTCAGCTGCTAACAGTGTCACTAGGCACCTAACAGTCATCAGGAACCTCTCCCTATTACTAACCATTTAGAAAAGCAATAGCCACCAGGGGTGGTGGATTTGAGACACAGTGACATTGCTACCTACTAGTTAATGACTGCCGCAGGCAGTGGATTCAAGACACAGCCATGTCACCATCTACCTCATGACCATTGCAGGCAGTGGATTCAAGACATAGCCAGGTTGTTCGTTATGCCTAAATCGCTAAGCAGCAGGTTTATCTGGAGACCTAACCACGTCACCAACCAAGACAAAGCGGATGATCCTTATTGGTGGCAAGTTAATTTCAAGACCAACCTATGCTGCCAACCCCATGGCCAACAACTGAAGAAGGCAGCAAGTTCGAGCCCAACTGGTGACCCTTCCAACACTAACAGCGGCTGTTGGAGGTAGGTTCGATCCACGCCTCTGAGATTTTTGGCTTGCCTATGGGAAAAAATATGATGCATGTGAGGGCAAATGGAAACATTAAATATTTGACTTTTACCACAGAGTGGGGCATGGCGGAGCAGCTCCCCCAGCATGGCTAGTGGGGCCCTCAAAGGGCACCACTGATCCTACCCTACTCCTCCCCTCTTGCACCTTGCCACCAATTTCTGAACCTGAAGGAATGGAGCCCACCCCCAAAAAAAGCCCTGGGAGGCTCCCACCCCCCCAAAAAACAATGGGAAAAAAAATCCCCAAATAATTTGTGCCTCACACAAACTTCACCAAGCCAAGCTAGGGTGCGCCCTGCTCCTAGTGATGTCACCCCTTAGCCAGCCAATCCCAAAGCAACTTGGGAGCCGAGGAGGAAATGACGTCACCGTATCCCTCCGCCAGCCAGGTCCCCTTTTTTTGTGTGTGTGTGTGTGTATGTGTGTGTGTGTCTGTTGGTGCCTTGTGTGTGTATCAACCCGCAGCGCTTTTTTTTTTTCTTTTCCGGGGGGGGTGCAAAAAAAAAAAAATATTGGGGGGGGGAGGGGGAAGCTCATGCAACCTGCCCTCCCCTTCCCGCTGCCCTTTCCGAGGTGCTGTGGGGGTGCGTGTCCCTTTAAGAGAGTGCGAGAGCCGCCTCGGCTGAGCAGCGGGCAGCGGCGGGAGAAAGCAAGGAAGGTGAGTTGGCGCGAGCCCGTTATGTGGGGGAGGGGGGGGACGGACGCAGCAGAATCAACCGGGCCGCGGGG